TACTACTACTACTACCACTACTACTACTACTACTACTACTACTACTACTACTCCAACTACTACTACTACTACTACTACTACTACTACTACTACCACTACGACGACGACGACGACGACTACTACTACCACGACGAAGACGACGACGACGACGACGACGACGACTACTACTACTACTACTACTACTACTACTAGGATTCGGGCTTTCGTGAGAGGGATTCGGCCTTGTGTGGGCAGGATTTTTGGGTGCTCGTGCAGTTTTTTGGCTTTCGTGGGGAGGGATTTGGGCTTTCGTGCGGAGGTTTTCGGGCTTTCGTGGGGAAGAATTCGGGCTTTCGTGGGGAAGGATTCGGGCTTTCGCGGGGAGGGATTCGGGCTTTCGTGGGGAGGGATTTGGCTTTCACGTGGGAAGTTTCGTGGGGAGGGATTCGGGCTTTCGTGGGTTCGTGGCGAGTTCGGGCTTTCGTGGCGATGATGTTGGGCTTTTGTGGGGAGGATTTTGGGCTTTATTCGGAGGTTTTTGGCTTTCGTGAAGGGGCTTCGTGGGGAGGATTTCGGGTTTCCATGGGGAGGGATTCGAGGGGGATCCGAGGAGTACTCTAAACAGGTCCTGGAAACGTTGAAGTGAAGTCTTGAAGCTGCCATCCCAAACACCGAGCACAGGCACGCATACACACGCACACACACAGAGACATGTATGTATGTATGTATGTATGTATGTATGTATGTATGTATGTATGTATGTATTTACGTATTTACTTATGTACGTATGTACTTTGTATATATATATATATGTACAAACATACCTACATACATATACATACACACAGATGTTGAGAAAGGGTCCCCCATTCGATGAATCGAAAGTGTACCGAGGAATGCTAACTTTCAGCTGGATCCCGTGACCAGCGCCATCCTGGAGCGGAATTTCAGTGCCCGGGCTTCTGAATACTGCGCCCTTAAAGGATCCCCCGAAAAGGCTGATTTAAAGGAGCCCTTGCTTAAAAGGATCCCTTAAAGGATCTTTGAAAGGAGCCCTTAAAAGGGATCCTTAAAAAAGAATTATTACAGGGATCCCTGACGGAATCCTGAAAAAGGATCCCTTAAAGGAGCCCTTGAGCGTTCCTTTAGGGGTTCTTTCAAGGGCTACTATCAGGGGTTATTATAGGGTTCCTTTATTGGTTCCTGAAAGGGGTTTGAAGTGTTTCAACAGGATTTTACCATAGTTTACCGTTTGTCCCGGGGACCTAATTCAAGTTATGATAAGAACAGCATTCGAAACCAAAAAAGCCCCGAACCCCAAACAATCGTAACTTCAAGAACGGGCCGAAGAGTAGTCGAAGGGTCTCCCGAGAGCCCTAAACCCGAAACCCCTTACAAACCCTAACCCCTAAACCCTAAAGGCCTTGAGAAATTTAAACCCTAAACCCTAAAACCCTCAAGCCCCTAAACCCAAAAAACGCTAAACCCAAAAACCCTTAAATCCCTACATCCTAAGCCCACGCTTTTGGGAGAAGGCCTCGCTATGGTAAAGTCTTCAACGAACAGACTCCCATGCCCCTTACTTAGGGGTATACGGGTTTAGGGATCAGGGTTTGTGTTTAGGGTTTACGGCTTGGGAGAGTTTGAGGGTGTCGGGTTTGTGTTTAGGCGTGAGGGCTTGGGTTTTAGGGTTTAGGGTTGGGCTCGGATTTGGGGTTTAGGGTTTTTGCGGTTTTGGGGATTTCAGGGGTTTTATGTTTTCCGGCGTTTGGGGTTTTAGGGTTGCAGGCTTTATGGTCTAGGGTGGTATCCTAGTGTCAAGTTAGAGAGAGTTTTTTTGCAGGCCCGAACCGTAAAGACCCATAGGTCTTAGGTTGAGTCAGACTTCACTAATGTAGGGGCCTAAGTAAGTACCAGTATTATTTTGGGGGTTCCATATCACAGATACAGTATAATCGGCCCCAAAACCCTATTCTAATTGTTCAGGCCCCTATATTACGGCGATTAACGTTTACCGGCCTGAGCCGTGGTGTAGCTTGGTTTTGGCAAGATAGTTCTGTCGCTTCATGTCCCCAGTTTTCCTACCATAATCCCAGAGCGTTGTTGAATTATGCCCTAAACCCTAAACCCTAAACCCTGAACCGTTGTAGTCTCGTCTTTCGACGAGACCTGCAGTTGCGAGAGGCCGGCAAGCCCAGAGTTGAGAGAAGTTCAGAGAACCCCCGAGCCCGAGCCCCAAAGACCTCAACTTAGGGGCGGAGTAGGTAACCTTTAGGTTTAGGGTTTAGGGTTTAGGGTTTAGGGTTTAGGGTTTAGGGTTTAGGGTTTAGGGTTTAGGGTTTAGGGTTTAGGGTTTAGGGTTTGGGGCTTATATAATCCTACTATACCTCACAAGGTCAACTTTTTGGGCTAAGGTACTCAGCCCCTCAGTCAATCTTTTAAACCCCCCCAGTTTATTAAAGCCACCCTTCGAAGCTCCTATTTAAGCACCTAAGGAACCCTTACCGACACTCTTATAACACCCTAAACCCTGCACCCTAAACCCCACAACCCTGAACCCTAAACCCTCAGCCCTAGCCCTAGTATAGGGGCCTTAATAATTAGACTAGGGTTTTGGGGGTATATCATACTATAATCATAATAAGGAGCCTCCCAAAAACCCTATTCTAATTATTAAGGCTTAAACCCAGGCGTTGGGATCGAGCCTGCCCGTAGGTCAGGTATTGCCCAGCCCCAGTGGCAAAAGCCACGGCAATTGCGCTCCGAAGCCCTGCGTGGCATCGCCGCGCAAGACAGAAGCGCTCGCGAGCGAGGCGAAGGATCCATACCGCCCGCTCCTCACATTCTGCCCCGGTGCTCGCAGACCTAAAGCTTCTAGCCCAGCACCACAGCCGCCCGCTCTACTACGAGTTGATGGGACGCCAAGGGCGGCAACAAACATGGGGTGGCAACGAATACTATGGGCCGCCCTCTGGACAGCAGCAGCAGCGGACATGGGGTTACTGGAGTGGAAGCTGGCAGGTTTCCCCGAAGGCTGCCAGAGCAAGACAGAACACGACTCAGCGATACGATACAGTTGCGACCGGCCCCAAGCAACAGGCACCCTGGAAGGCAAAGGCGCCACCGCAGCAGCCGAACGTGCCACAGGGCAATCTGATGATGGTGGCAGTGCAAAAGGCCCTGACCTCGACACGCAAAGCCGACGCAAAGATGAGAAAGCTACATCTGGAGCGCGACAGCAAGGAAAAGGCGTGGCAAGCCTTTATCGACAAGCAGAGGCGAGACTTCGCCCAACAGCGAAAGTTGTACGAGGGCGACCTCTTGCGCATAGAGCAGGACATGGCAGCCACTACAGAGCTTGGAAGCCAAGCGGCCAAGAGGGTACAAGAGCTCATCATGCTTGGAGAGTCCGCTCTCCAAGTCCCTCACGAAGAGCCAGCAGAAGACGGCGAATGGGACGCCCTGATGCAGGCTCACTCCGAAGAAGGGCCAGGCTTTTTCCAGACTGCTCTGGCTGCAGCCCATGCCGCACATGTCAACACTGGTATGGTTGGCCTCGGTGCAGCGGCCTCCCACAGTGGAACTGCCCTGGCACCAAAGACTCCGGACCGCCCCACCAACGGACAGCCAAGAACGCCCATGCCTTCCGACCTACTTCGGCAGCCTGCTATTTCGCAGGCGGACCTTGGCTCTCCTCCTGGATTGACAGCCCAGGTGATACAGGACGATTATCCCACACCTACGCCGTCGCCTTCTACCCCTGCTGTGGCTTCTGCACTTCGCCATTTGTCTGTGGAAACCACGCCGCCCAGCGTGAAGCCTACTCCTCCTGGGAAAAAAGAGCAACATCATCCGAATGCTTCGCCCTCGCAGTTGCCGCCGCGGACCGACATCAAGACTGCAAGCAAGACCGCTGCCCCAGTGGACACGGGCAGCCGTACGTTAGCAGACAAACTGCATGCAAAGAGGGAAGCAGAGTTCGGCAACCCAGCTCTCCGCCCTTTCCGACTCCCCGGGGCCGCTCAGACGGGACACGCTGCAGAAGAAGCCGCAGAAGCCCGAGGCGAGCGTCCGGTGCTGCTCGACGACGACATGCCAGATGCGCCCTCGCCAGGACTTACCAATTTGGAGTGACCGTTAGGCAGAAGCCCCGGGAACACGTTCATGATACCCATTTCCTCTGTCCGCTAGTAGGGCCCGTGGCATATATTGACTTTTGTCAATGTGTGCCCAAGCTCCCTGTTGGCTGGTACAGTCGAATTGGTGACTTTGAGCATGTATATCGGTGGCTTCTGCGGTCTCACCCTCAGTGTGGTAACGGTAGATTCCTGTATATACTTTTGCAGGCTCCAGATCTGTCCTCCGGCGCACCTCTAGTGCCCCGCTTCCCAGGTAGCTACAGCGAATTTTGTTGGTGCTCACAACTTGTTAGGCCCTTTGCTCGCTTAAAGCTGCGGCCAGGAGCACTTTTGCATTTCAGTCCGTTTGCTCAGGTTTTTCCTGCGTCTTGTTGGAGCCTAAGAGGAGTATCGGTGGCTCAGGGACTCCCTCCAACACAAGCAGCGTGCCTTTTTGTAGCAATGCCTTTGGTGCTATTGCCCCTTTCGTCTTCCTCGACCAGTACTGGCCCTTTGACTTGCCACCTACTTGGTCCTCGCCTGCATGCTCGCCGTTTACGGCTTGAGCCCCTTTTCAGGCCGGAGTGGCATGTATGCCATCTCTTTTTGCACGGCTGGAGCCTAAGAGGAGTATCGGTGGCTCTGGGACTCCCTCCAGCCAGGGTCTCAATGTGCCTGTTTGCACTGCCCCTTCTGTCTTCCTCGACCGATGGTGGCCTTTTGCCTTGCCACTCGTTTGGTCCCCGCCTGCATGCTCGCCGTATGTGGCTTGAGCACTTCGCCAATGATTGGCGGAGCTCTTACTGCACCCTGTTTCGCGGCTGGAGCCTAAGAGGAGTATCGGTGGCTCTGGGACTCCCTCCAGCTACAGTGTATGAGCCCAGTGCAAAGGAGCAAATCTTTCATAATAGCATCGACTGGATTAAGGGCACCCTTTTTCCCTTCCTGCGTAGTTTGCAGGCTCTGCGCATTTTTGGCATTGATCAAGCTCCTCCTTCTAGGAGGACGCCTCATCCCCTCCCCCCTTGTCCGGTGGTGCGGCTACCCGGCTCTCCAAATGCCGACCAAGCTTGTGCTCAACATTGGGTGCATCGGTTCTTCGCAGCCTATCCTTTGTTGGCGGCCGCACACAGATAGGAAAGGCCGAATGCGTCGACTACCCAGGCCTGGCCGCCAAAGGTCTTCTATGTCCACGCGCTATCTGTTGACAATCTGTTTTTGGAGTATTCCGATGTGTGTCTGGGCTGCTCCTAAAGGCCTCCCCGGCCTGATACAAGCAGGTGCCGCAGTTGCAGCAGAGAGGCCGGAAGACATGCCTGAACGGCCTGCCCGCAGCTACCCTGCTGCCCCAGATGCTATGACTGTGTCTTATGGCATACCGGTACCTGCAGTGCCCGACATACTGGACCCCATATTGCAGCCGCCGCGCGGCCCACCGCCGCCTCAGTCTGTTAGAGTTGAACTTAGCAACGTCGTTCGGCATACGGACCCAGCAGATGTCACTGATGTTGACTTCCCTGTCTTCGTTACCACTCCGGGATACCAAGACGCTGTGTTGCAGCTCAGGATTGGAGTTCCGTGTGACATTGAGGATGCCATTGATGTCGTGGAGCGAAGTCCACTTCTACCAGCTTTGACTTGCTGTGATAGAATAATTCCCGTTAGGCCCCAACCGCTGCCAAACTGTGCGTCCTTCGTTCGGGCTCCCGACTGGGTGTCTTACTCAGCGCTCTCTGCTATTGTCCTTGACCTGCGGGATATGGTGCCAGGCGGAGTAGGCCCTTTCGTGGCAACATACGTCACGCGCCCAACAAGCTTAGCGGAGCTCTGCC